TTTTCGCGAAAAGCGGGAAAACCGCGGCGCGTAGCGCCGCGAAATTTGGTATGACTACAACCTCATCAATTTTACACATGGTGTGCAAGTTTGAACCTCCTACCTTTTAAGGTCAGGTCACCAGGTCACTTTGAATGACCCAACCTCAAGTCACTTTTTTGCAACTTTGTCACCGTGCCAGAGCTGCAGTAGATGTCGGAGGCCTTTGAAAGTCGCAGGATATTATTAGGTCATTAGTAGCTACAATTTGTATATCTCGGAATTTTGATATCGGTGACCTAAGGTCAGGTCAATTTCGCGACCTCCCCATTATAAGCCAATGGGGGAAAAATCAACTCCCTGTTTTTACCACTAAAACGGGTCGGAATGGCCCCATATACCATATGTGACTTCATATACGATCAACCTTCACTACCTTGAGGTCTGTTTTGCTGTTGGGCAGCTGTGAGGTCATGTGACGTCATCAAAGGTCACCAAAGGTTTTTGGCCAATAACTCCGTACAGGAACAAGATACAGACGCGTGGATGGTCTCATTGTGTTAAGCTCGTCAAGACGCATCGAATGATATACATGATGACCTCGAGGTCACGTGACCTGAGGTCAACCTTTGACCTTGACCTTTCGAGGTCAACATATATATCATTCGATGCGGATTGACGAGAGGATCACGACGATGCCCTTAGTTTGTTCCTATCTTGACTAATTCGAAAGTTATTCGAGAAAAACTCTCTCCATATCTAGCGCCGCCATTTTGACTTTTTCGACCCCTGTGACGTCATCTTTGACCTGACCTGAAAATGACCTTTGTAAAAATTGTAGATCTTGGCCGTGCGTATCCGATGCCGTTTACCGCTTGTCGCTATCTTGCTTCGTTCTCGAGATCTCAGGGGGGGGGGCGGTCATCCGCCCCCCCCGTCGGTGCGAAGTTGGCGCAGACCCCCGTCGGTGCGCGGGTTAAGTTTGACCTACTTCTTAAGTAAATTTTTTTATTCACGTGAAATCCGTCGATAAAAACTTAAGAACTGTCGACGTGAATACCAAATTATACTTACGAAAGAAAATTGACTTACGATGTCGACGTGAATACGGCCCCTGGTGTCACAATTCATCCGGCTGAAGCCCTTGCAGCTGCAGTGACTCATTCGTGTCTTCACGGAGCTGCTTTCATAGGCGTAGGAACCATGTACGAACAGGGGGCCGGGGCGCCCTGCCCTCCTCCCCGACTTTACAGCCATTTTTTAAAGTAAAATATTTATTTTTTGATTTAAATACAAAATTAATAGCAGGAAATGGTTCAGCTAGCCCGCGCCCTGATGGGGTCTGCCGAGCAACGCGGTCTGATAGGGGGGGGGGGGGCATTTTGGCCCCCCCCTAAGATCTCGAGAACCACGCAACGTAGCGACAAGCGGCAAACGGCGTTGGATAGCCCTATCAGGGAACTACCTTGTGACCCAATTTCATTGACCTCGGTCAAACCGATGACGTCACAGGTCAGGTCAAAGGTCGAATTTTTACCGTTTACAGGCATTTCAAGAAATGCGTTGTAAAATCGAGTAAAATGCATTTCATTGAATAGCATCGATGGGGAAATGTTCGTCAAACGCATATTTTGCTATTTGAGGTCAGTGATACCAGGTCAGGTCACAGAGGTCAGGTCACTGAGGGTCACAAATTAAAAATATCATGTGATGCATGTTTTATGGTCCATTTTATATGCCAAATGCGATTATGTGGGACAGGCAGCCCTTGGGGTCAGTTAAGATTATGTTTTGGTGAAGGTCAGGTCAAGGTCAGGTCAAGGTCAGGTCAAATAAGGTCAAATTTCAAAGTTGATATTTTTGCATAAAATGGGTATCGATTCGATGCAGCTTGTCACGGGGAGTTCAATGGTGGTCTCTGTTTTGCGCTAGGAGGTCTAGAATTGCTAGAAATTGAGTTCAAAAATTTGACGTCATCAATTTTTAACAGTTTTTTTCGCTATAACTTCGCCAAAAAAGGGGTATCGATCTAAAACGTGGTATGTATATCGAAGAGCGCAGGGACTATCACATATATTCCGTTTTTTTCGAAATTCGAAATTTTTCGATTTTTTGGGGTTTTTCTAAAAAATCTTTTTTTATTTTTGGGCCAAAATCCCAAAATTTCGAAAATCTGAGATAGAAGTTTTGTAGCGCCGTTTTTTTTCTACACAACCACATAAAGAACTTTAAAATTGCTTGGTACCTGTAGAATTGGTGAGCGTTTCAAGATGTCGTGTTTTTTGCTCATTTTTACTCGAACATGACCTCAGTTTGACCTCAATAACTCCTGACCCGAGGTGACCTGTGACTTGAAATTTTGTGTGAAGGTGTCAAATTGATGCCCAGTAAGGTATCCAAAATTTGGCGGCGCTGCGTGCCGCCGTTTTCTCGCTATATAAGAAAAACCACAGGGGGGCCAAAATGCCCCCCATCAGGGCGCGCGGGCTAGCTGAGATGAACACGAAACTGTAAAGAATTTCTTCATAGGGGTATTGGGGCTCCCACAAAGTGACATTGAAGTTTCGCTACCCCCCCCCCCCACACACACACACACTTTTCGTGACGTTCCTACGCCCATGGCTGCTTTGCACCAAAGCAATAGGTATGCATACCATTCGGCAGAGTGGTTTCAGCAACACTGGCGCCTGCACTAGTAGCCCATTGTGGGTAGTATCAGTAGTGGAATGTTGTTCTCCAGAGATATGGCGACCAACAGCAGCACGAGGCTGGCCACCGGCAGCTGGGGATACAGGCGCGCATATCTAAGCATTTATCCCGTGGTATGTACCAAAGAGTATTCGATTGAAACTTATGATAAAATATGGTGATGAAATTGACCAATAACATGGCAGTGAGATGTATTTTTACATACATAACAAAATGAGGCCGAAAATATAGAGCAAGCTTTCGTCTTACGACATCATCGGGTCGTAAGACGAAACGAGACAATCGCCCAAGCGGCTGCTGAGATATGAGCCTCTCAAAATCACGACTTTTGCAAAACAGCCTGAACACCCTTGACTTTTCACGTGGCACGTGCCACGACGGTCACTGAGATGTATCAAAAGTAGTCAATTACGGGGTAGAAGGGATGGGGCTACCCAGCAAAAAAGACTGCAGGCCAATCGGTCCAGCGGTCGCTGAGATATAAGCCTCTCAAAAGCGTTACAGGCCGGGCCGGGCCGCTCATACTGAGATTTTTCCGTTGTATTGAAAAGACTTCGATTCGCTCGCTGCGCTCGCTCGCTCGTAATAAATCCTTATAAGTCCGCCGCCGCCGCCGCCGCTGCCGTCGGGGTTACGCCCAAAAACGCTTATTGCGGCGCCGTCGATTGACGCAGGAGGGTGAAATTTTTACTACTCGTGGGCCACGTGATTCAACAGGTCATATTAAATTTTGGGCACGATGCGGCCGGGGGTGCGCCCGTGGCGCGTGCTCATGTGTACCATAGGGCTAGCATTATAATGGGCAAAAACAGGCTATTGCTTGGGAACGGTAAGGGTTACGGGGGTAGTAACTAGTAGCTGACTGGTGTAGTAGCTGGTGTAGTTGGCTGGTGTCATTACGGACAAATATGAGAAAGTATTATCAGGAATTCACAAAAATACGCATATTTAACTAACCGCTCGAAATTTACATGTTACTATCTATTAATGCTATACACAAACAAGAACAATTATTACACCATGATAAATGGAAATGTTCTGTCATACACAGGCATGATGAACCAAATGCAGCCACTCAATGCTGTTGAGCATATATTGACAAATAGGATGCATGGGGTTGAGCCACGAAAATCAGTCATGAATAAGAGATTGGGTAAACAATACACAGCTCGAGCGATAATATGTAGAAGGAAGGATTTGCGAAACAAATAATTCAGCGTTCATTCTCTTACTCCTCTCTCTCTCTCTCTCTCTCTCTCTCTCTCTCTCTCTCTCTCTCTCTCTCTCTCTCTCTCTCTCTCTCTCTGTCTTCACTTTCCGGTTCCTGCACCCCTTCCCAATCTTAAACTTACCATCAATAGCCAGGGATTCATCTTGAATGACTAGCACCGCCGAAACTTGTCCTTCCCACTTGAATATTTGGTATGCCTTCGTCGGTATACCTCTACAGACTGAGCTCAGAGTGAGCTGCGACTAAATATCACCACCGTGACCTACATGATGACACCCCCTACCACTCGTCACAACGTGAGTCACGAACAGACAGACAGAAGTTGACACGCCACTGGGTCGCAGTGCACCCTGAAGCCCCCCCCCCCCTCCAAAAAAAACATACACACACAAGCCACTACTTCAAGCTTCGACTTCGTTAGTATTGAAAAAAAAACAGATATCGTTTTTTGTTTTCATGATGCAATGATTCACTTATTAAACGTAGGTACTTACCTACTCTGGGCCTCTAAAAATTATCGTTTCATTTACTCGACTGTGTATTGACTACTCATTTTTATTTTTCGTTTCATGTTTTATAAGCAAACTACCTGAATAAGCAATGAACAATAGTAAAATATTCAGAATATGATGTAGAAGACATAAAATTGCGCTCCTCATCATTTCAAGAAGTATTGCAGAGCATCCATAATTTTATCTTTGAGTTCAACTTCTCCTCAGTATTGGTCGCATTGGTATATTTCGGTCTAACGATCACACCACCCATGCAACAGCTGAGTGGTGTGACCACTCAGCTGTTGGTCACACCAGCTGAGTGGTCGTGACCAACTCAGAGGTACATACCTACTGCTCCAGTACGAGCAGTAGGTACCTCAGCGGGTGGACCGTTTGAACAGCTGGGTGACCAATCCTAACGGGGCACACCCGTTTCAAAAACGGGACGAACCCAGCTACTGTGGCTCACCATTCGGTGATCGACTCAGCTGTGTAGAATTTGTCCCTTATTTGGTCATCTCACGGCCATGAAATTGGCTAAATGGGCTAGAAAACCTAAACATGCCGGCAATGGCGACAAAAACAAGAACAATAACAAATCGTTTATTAAGCGCAGTTAAAAAATGCCGAAAAATTCCCAAGCCACTGAAACCTACGGATGAAACACCCAATTACCAATACATTTCAGGGAATCAATAACACATTTCAAATGGTGCTCACGGATGATACGACGGAAAGTTCAGTCAAAAGGTAAAGAGAAGCCGTATCACATACCTATCTTCTAAACGTTTGCCGAAAAAAAAACTTGTTCAGGTACCGACACAGAGACTGAAGGCTGAAACACAGCTCTTACGTGTGCAAGTTGCATTATCAATTCACCCCTTAGAATACATGGCACACCTATTTTTCGCTCCAAATACGCAGTACTTGGAGCTGCGAGTTGGGAGCACAAAATATGTCATGCATTCTGATGGGAGAAGCGTGAAGCGATTTGCCCGCTTGAAAGCTGTGTTCCAGCCTTAAACCTTGTTCTCGCTGCGATAGCTTCAGCTGAAGTGTTGCATAGCCCCACTCTTTCACTCCTTTACACAGCAGCGAAGACACCGGAAAGCACAGCCCGAGCAGCATCGGTGACACTCGCACCGCAGCACTGGTGGCCAGCCAGGACCTGGTTGTGGATGGCTGGCAACCAGAGGAACTGCCACCGTCAAGAGCACGAGGCCGATCAGCAGCAGCTGTGGATAGAAAAAAAAAACGGGTCGGTCAATGGTTGCAACAAAATTGGCAAACTGATGAAAATGAAAGCGATTGGGAACATTTACTTACAAATGAAAAACAAAAATATGACGTTTATGAATGAAAGGAGAACGATTGATCGATTGGCAGACGGTATGCATCTATAAAGGCGCATATGAACTAAGCGCTAAAACTTACCATCAATGCAAAACGACTCATCTTGAACGCTAAGCACGAGCACCTCAAAACGCTTTCTGGTGTTTTTTCGACACCTTACCTCCGATCGAAAACGCCTACGGACTGAAATCTGGAGTCGGCTCCAACCGTTCACGACCAAACGCCTGCTTTACACGCCTACGTCCCGTCTCTAAAATGTCCCAGTTTGCGTCATAACTGTCACTCCAGTAGCTGACGGCAACTGTCACCAGCTCTGGGGTGGCGTTACGTAATATGTGACATTTTGTGTAACATTTGTAGAGCTGACGAAAAAGGGGGGTTTCTTACTTCCACGTAGGCAAATCGCTTTGTTAGTTAAAGGTCATGGTTGATGCTGATAGTCTTCGAAATATGAGCGCGTCGTTTTTTTTTGGCTTACTCAGAAATGTTAGGTTACTGCGACAGGGAAAAGAAATGCACACAATTACAATTCACAAATAAGTAGAAACCAGGATTGAGTGGTTCAAATAGACCTATGATTGTTCCAAACTGGCTTATAATGGCCGTTAGTAGTTCTAAACGATTTTAGATTGGCCATCGCCGGCTTAAATTCAGCAGCCGTGTTTCTTTGTCGACTCCACTTGGCACTTCGTGATAAACCCGTAGACTGGACACATCTAGGAATCATACCAAAATATGCAGCCCTAGAAACTGCTGACATTCACATGAAGTATCACAGTTTTACGAGTGTATTACATAACCAAAGACCCCGTTCTATCTATATGTGTGCTTCATGACACGAATATCAAATTTCTAGTACGTGAACAACTGCTTACTTCTCGGTACAACCGGTACAGCCCTAACCGGCACTATTTTGCTATGAAAATAATAACAATCAAGCAAAGCTTACTCCAGTAAACTCAAGTGACTCATTGAGTTACTTATACTAAAAATTGTAACTACTGACATGATATCATGCACTGGTGCACTTGTTTTAGTTCTGACCATTTTACATTGAATATTCTTGTTATAGTCTGGCAAACCTAAGAAAGAACGGAACTGAAGTTCCTGAATCATTTCGCAACGTGATTCGATCACTGGAGGTGTATGGTTCGAAGAAAATTCGTGCAAAAAGTCGTGAGAGGAATATTGTTCAATATGTTTTATTTAAAGGTAGTGTGCCAGCTTTCCTGGACCGTATGGAGTTAATGGCCCAGATAAGGAGAACCGGATTTTTAGAACTTATCCATACCTTCAAAACTCATGGAAACGTCTTAAATTCTTCAAATTTTGAGTACCCCAGTGCGAAATTCGCCCCGACGGGTTGTCGGTCGTACCCCAACCACATTTCACACCACTATGAACAATAAATGCACACACTGAAATCGCTATTACCGATATGCTCATCCAATCAAGTTTCGATAAACCCGTTCATCATCATCTCCTGCGGTTTCGAACACGCCTGTTAGGTGGTGCGGTAGACCGCGCCCAAAGCCAGGGCCCCGGTAACGTGAGGTAGCCGAGTCGGGGCAGCGTGCGCTGACCCAAGCCGGGGCCGCGCGTCCTCCCGGTGTCATGTGATAGCCCGGGGCTGCCCGCGGGGATGCGGTAGACCGCGCCCAAAGCTGCGGCCACGGCTTGGGTCAGCGCACGCTGCCCCGACTCGGCTACCTCACGTTACCGGGGCCCTGGCTTTGGGCGCGGCTTCTGCTCATACTTTGTGGTGCGGTGGTGGTGCGTCGGGCCGCGCGCTCTGACTTCGGCCAAGAAAATGCGTCAGCTGATCATTGTCATTTCTGCCACTTGCGTGTGGTGAAATGGGGTCATAACTTAAGAGACGGCTTTTTCATATCAATTATTTTACATAAAATCATATTTCAAACCATAAATAATGTTCGACAGCCAAATAAAAGAAACAATACCAATACAGGCTTACAGTTTAAGGCTCGACATTGTGTTGTCTACGATTAGACAGCTGATAACTCATTCCCGTACGTCGTAACTCTATAATGACCTTTGCTTATTGTCACATGTGCGCCGCATTCGCGATTGTTGCCGACGCCTGTTTACAGGTCAGCCCACTACAGTTGTTATACATATCGAAAAACCGATAAACTTTTAGGCGAAAAAGGCACAATTCCAGGCCCATTTTTGATTTTTTTGCGATATTAGGTAAACACAGAAGCTTCTTATCCTAGGAAAAATAAAATGGGAAATCTTTTAAAGGTGGCACACTACCTTTAACATAAAAACGTGCAACAGTGGTGGTTGGTTTGCGCTATAAATCCGTTCTTTATTAGGTTTGCCAGACTTCTTTATATGTATTTGAAACAAAGAATCTTGTGTATTTTATAGTTATTAATGCCAATAAAGGGATGAAACGTTGGGGGTCCAACATAAACATTGAGGGTGCATAATTTAACTTTGGGGGTGCAACTGCTCCCTTTGAAGTATACAAAGTTACGCCCCTGCATCACAGTTCACGACAGAGATACTGGTTACTGAGCGAGCGAAGCGAGCGGAGTCTTTCATTAAGGAGCGAGCGACGCGAGCGAAGTCCTTCGTAGATTTACGGAAATTTCTGAGTATGAGCGGCTGGCCGGCCGGCCGGCCGTGGTCACGTTTTTGCGAGGCTTACATCTCAGCAACAACTTTACCGATTTACATGGGGTAATTTTTGTAGAGTAGCTTCATTCCTTCTGCCAAGTACTGGACTATTCCCAATGCATGTGGGTGACCCCTTATGCACGTGCCTCGTGCAAAACGAAGAGAAGTCAGTTTTGTAACAATTGCAATATCTCGGTAACTACTGGAACGATTGCGCTGAAAGTTGGCATGTAGGTAGGCACTAATGATGTCAATTACAGAAAATCTGAATACCGATACCAAACCAAATCCCAGCATTACCCGTAAGGAAATACCGATACCGTCCCAACTTAATAACATGAGAAAGCTATACCGACTTTTACCAATTTCTCAGCCTCCTATATACATATTAGCGAGGGCTCATTACCAAAAAATACCAAGTACATTAGGATTGAAATACCAAATACAAAGTTGGTATCGGTTTGGAATCGGTATACCAAAAAGTCGGTATCCGATTGACATCTCTAGTAGGCAATGCATATCCATGTGCCACAGTTGGGGCGCTGCTGCACGTGCACACGTGCATGGGGTCGATTCCAGATCTCGAGAACGGCTGAACCGATTGCGCTGAAATTTGGGACATAGTTAGCGATCGGTTAGTAGGCTGCCGTGAACAAGTCAGTTGGGGCCTATTTTGCACGTGCGCACGTGCAAGGTGCCGCTTTCAGATCTCGAGAACGGCTAGGCCGATTGCGCTCAAATTTGGCACATCGCTAAGAACTGGTTAGTAGGATGCAGATTGCAGTGCACAAGTTAGTTGGAGGTACCCCCTCGCAATTTCGTTCGCACGTGCAAGACTCACCCTCTTGCTCGCTCCGTTGGTCGCCCCAAAAGGCCTTTTACTGGTTTAACCTTAACAATACCCTGCGCATTTCCTAGATACTTTCTAAGCATGCATAAAGGTACGATTAGGTAAAGTAAACACACTACGCAGTGAACAGTCCCAAAATAGATACTGCAGGACAGCACCCTCCATTTTTTGTCTTGTGCTGTTCACGATCAATAAGGGCCCCATAAAACTAGGATCATGTCATTAATCTCGTCATGTGCTTTATTGAATCAGTAAGAGGACGTACTATATTACAACAAACATGATTACAGCTAGCCTTTAGTCACTCCGGCATTGGTCAGGTTTAGACTAATCTGACTCCCATTCAGGCTCGGGGCAGGACTGTCGTCAACAGCCGACTTTGACTTCGACTCCGAGCCCCCGCGTGACAGCGTCCATTTCCCATCCAAACTTGCAGCAGAACTGTCGACTCCAGTCGCCGATGGCGTTGATTCCCACTCGACACCCCAAGTTGATCCCAGATTTTGGGTAGTCTGACTCCCTGTTGTATTCGGGGCAGTATTGTCAACTCTGGCCGCTTTTGAATTCGAATTCAACTCGGCAGCCGTATTTGACATATTTGATGTCGTCTCCAAAAGGCAGCAGTGCCGGCACGGTGCATCACAACGCATAGAAGGACAGCAGCGCGAGAGCAAGCACGGACACTCGGGTGATTTTTTGGGAGGATAGTTGGTCATCGCGTGTTGTGCATGGCTGACAACCAGAACCATCTCGACAGCCAGGAGAACAACGACTGTGGTAAAGACCATCTGGAAATGACAGACATGTTAGTTAGTCCGTGTCGTTACGGACAGATATGAGAAAAGAAATAGCACGCCTAGTTTGGCTACAATAAGCACACATTTTCAACTGACTGTGCAAGCGTAACTATTTATGCATGCTTTTCACTGAAAAGAGATAATTGCAACATAGTCGTCACTCGAAGTTGTTGAGCATTTATTGACAGGAAATAGATGCATGACGTTTAGACACGAACATTTTATGGAGAAGGGATTGATGGGATACAAGTTAATGGATACGAGCAATAATAAAAAGGAGCATTTGTGAAACATAAATTTAAAATATCAATCTCTCCTTCTCTCCGGCTCTAGCAGATCTTTCGACACAGCACTAAAACTTACCATCGGAGCAAAGCGATTCATGCTTCAAACAGCTGTGTCCTCTTGTCTTTTTCGGTGTGCCTCGGCTCACAAATGTCTATGGACTGAATTCTGAGGTACGCTTTAGCTAAATGTCACCGACACGACTCAAAAATGACATATAGGCCTGTCATTTTGTGAGTCGCTAGAGACTGGACCCTGGTGAATCACCAACGGTCAGTTTGAAAGATACTGTTCTATGACAAACATGAGTTAAATTCTACGCTGCTGCTGTACTCGTATTCTGCTATAAAAGTTGGCATTTTCATATCTTTGTTTGTTTGTTGACTCTGTGATGCTGAATTATTATTATGCTACGGCTTGGTAGATTTTTTTTTTGCTATGGTGCGTTTTGCGGTGTTTGCGTTTGGCGGCGGGCGGGCGTTTTTTCACAATTCGAAGTCTCAAATAACAAAATTCACAAGACACCATATTCCATAGCAGGACTGTGAAGTTGACCGCTAATGACTTCGGTTCTTGCCCTTGTTTCGGCTCCAACTTGAGCATCGGTTAAATGCTGATCAAAATTGGCACCAAACTAACATCGTTCAATTTGTACATCAGCGGTATTCTGTTGTTTTGCCTCAAATATACTAGGGCTCATTTCCAGATATTTCTTGGCATGATATGCTGAAACATTTAGAAAATGTTTGACCAGTGCATGTGCGCCATGCACACCAAAATAGCTTCGGCAATAAATAGCTTCGGCATTAAATAACTAACTTCGCGCCATAATAAATGGCGCACAAATTATTGGCGCTAACGCAGTCGTTTATCAAGCCTTTTTTGCTTTTCACGCCAAAACGTATGTGAGCCAAAAATGAGAGAATGAGAAAATGAGAAAAATGAGAAAAAGGAGAAAATGAGAGAATTCCGCAAGGTATGAATTTCTTTATATGTTTCGGGGTTGGCGCAGATCGCGCCGACTAGAGTTTGAGCTCCAAGTTATTGCGCTGTATGTTGCACATTGTGCGTAATCGTATTGTAGAATAGCAGTGATCATTAGGCCCTGTCTGTAGTGTTGCCATGTGCTTTTTTAGGGCTCATGTTGCGCGGAACCATGAAGACCACGTGATCGAAATCAGGCCGACCTTAGTTAGCCTCGGGTCAAATGATCAGGACATTTCCGCCTCGAACAAAGTGCGCTACATTTTCTTCCACTCATCCTCTCATCTCATTGCTAGAAGATGACCTGAATGTACCAGAATGGCCCAACCGAACACGGCAACAAATACATTTCGTTTATTGAAGCAAGGAAAAAGCCAGGGGAAATTCCCCAAACCTCCCAAATATTTGCATTTATCACTAAACACAGATAACTTTCAGCGAATCAATTTTATATTGGTATCCAGTCTGTAAGGATAGTTTCACAAACGATATTCACTGTTCCTTCCAGCGATCCTGTGAAGTGCTGAGCGGAGCCTGATGAGACATCCCCTTGAACTGAGAAGAGCGAGGCCATTCTGTTGACTGATCTTTACGAGCCATTACTATGCATAGCAGCAATACCGACACCAGTCACAATTGGGACAGCAATGGTGACACCTGCACCAGGGTGTTGGCGAAGGGACCACTTGTGGGTGCCCGACAGCCACAGGCACTGCCACCGTCAACAAGAGAAGACCGGCCAGCAGCAGCTAGAAATGAAAAACGGGAGCGTCAGAGAACGTGTCGGATGATGAGCTCAACAGCCTGAAGTTGATTGAGAGCTTTCACTAACCAATGGAAAAAAGTAGCGATTCTCTATGACAATCGACAGCTGGTAACACAAGCGGGTTATATGTATAAGAAGTCCTTATTAGAGGTGGCAAAAGATAAAAATTTTGGGAACCAGACTCGAACCAGACCCGGCTGGACATTTCTGGAACCAGTCGGACCCGGTCTTAGTTGGAATCGGAACCAGTTGGACCCGGTCCCCAAAAGTCAACTAATACAAACTACTTGTAGACATCATTAGTTGCTTCATGTATAACAGCCTATTTCCCACTGGGAATACTCATGAGCTACTGTGTGCAAAGAAACATTCACTTCATTCACTTCATATTTTGCAATAATGTGTAGTGTGCAATATGTATAGTTTATGGTAGGACCCGGTTGGACCCGTCAGAAAATTTCAAGGAACCGGTCTGGACCCATATGGGTCTAGACTGGTTCTTTGGACCGGGTCCTCGGGTCCACATTTTGCCACCTCTAGTCCTTATGCTTAAAAATATATGTACAAAGGCTTATACTGTAATATGTGTATGAGCCTATGGCTTATATTATGCATACAGCATAGTTATGTAGTCACTATGGAACATGCATGCAAACATAAATGCATGGCGTACATGTGACTGAACCAGTAAATAAAAAGCCTTGGCAAAACACGATTCTCTCTCTTCTCTCTCTCTCTCTCTCTCTCTCTCTCTCTCTCTCTCTCTCTCTCTCTCTCTCTCTCTCTCTCTCTCTTCTCACCATGCCCTCTTTTTATCACGCACCTCTTTCCAAACGACAATTAAGGTGTTAACCTTACCATCAATAGCGATAACTTCATCTTCAATGTCCCCCAAAGCGTGTTTTGCCCACTTGAATAGATTTGCCGCACTCGGTTGGCAGACGCTTCAGCTTGCAAACTGAGCTTCAAAGTGATGTTCCGCTAAATATCACCACCGCATGACATGACATGACATCAACGCTGCACCGAAACCAGACAGCTCGTGACACCTGCCTAGGGTCCTGTTTCACCGTCCCAACGCTGTGCGCGCTTCAGCGCTGCGCCAGGCGTTTGATATCCGGCCCGCGCGGCGCCGGGGTCTCCAGCCGAACGCGCGGCGCTGGGGGGGGGGGGAGGTAAATATCATCCCTCTGCTTACTCGAAACCAAGGACCGTAGAAATAAGCGGAAGGCGGCAATCGAAAGCTCGTAGCGAGAAGGTTCAGGTGAGTGCTTAAAATGTGCTTAAAAAGGTCAAATATGAGGTCAGGGCCAGCTAAATGTCAAGACATAATTGTTTGCTCGGTCAACATAAATGAAAGTTTCAAAATTATTATTTTTGCCATAGGAAGGTTTGCTTCGATGCAAAATTTAACGGGAAGGGAGTTCAATGGTGTTATTTTCATCTTTCTACGTTGCATACTTTGGTCAAAACAAGGAATTTGAAAATTTTACCTGTGGACATTTTCGAAGCCTTTGGACGATATCAAGGCCGATTGACATTTTTGAACCGATTGACTTGAAATTTTGTATGCGTATAGTCCATTCATGCATTACACACATATGTTCCGTTTTCTTTGAAAATTTAATTTTGTAGAATTTATAGAGTTGATGTCTATATTTTTTTTTAATTTTAAGGCCAAAATTTCAAATCTATGGAAATTTGAGATAGCTATTTTGTAAAACTTAACATTCTGTTTAGGACGAATATTCGAAACACCGGGTACTTTTTATTTATGGTAGCTTTCGAAAGCGCTGCGGCTTTCTTCCTCAGCCTAGACACACATAGAATCAAATTAAAATTAGCATTTCATCCTAGTCGCTCGTTTCGTGAGAGTAAACATTCACGAAAATAGTCGTTCACGAAACATAGTCGTTCATAGTCTCTAAAATATCACAGTTTGCGTCTTGCGACGAAACTGTCACTCCGGTAGCTGCTGTATGACGGCAGCTGCCGTCAGCTTCGGGGTGGCGTTACGTAAAATGTGACATTTTATGTGACATTTCTAGTACTGAAGAAAGGGAGGGGGGGGGGGTTCTTATTTTCACGTATTTCTTTCAACCACTGAAAGGTCGTGACAGGTTGTTTCTGGTATACTCGTTATATAAGCAGTAAGCACATCGTTTTTAGCGCACTCTGATATGTTAGTGTCCGGGATGAGAAGGCCACGTTGGGAGAATTATTGGCACAAGCCAAAGCATAAGGGGCTCAAATTGATCTAATAATGCTTCAACTTGTCTAGAAATACCCCCTAATATAGATTGAATGACCTCATATTGTTCAAAGGCGGTGTTAGTTTAGCAGCCACGGTTCTTTGTAGGTTTGAGTTAGTGATAAGCCGGTAGACTATCCATATACAAAGAAGCAAGGAATCGTCCAAAGTATGCAACTAGCCCAATAAACTGCTAACATCCACATGAAACATCACAGCTTTACGAGGGAGTTACATAAGCAAAGGCCCCGTTCTATCTACCGCTTCATGGCACGAATATCAAATTTCCAGTCCGTAAACAACAGTCGCCTCTCGGTACAACCCTAACCAGTAAACACCAGCCGTATCCGCATACTGACACCGGTCACAAACAGCCTCACTCGCGCTGAGTGCTGTAAACTGGCCTAGTAACGGTGTCAGAGCGGTGACACCGCATACCACCCCGGTGTCGTCTGTTTATTCCACAGAGCATCCAACACAGGCGCGCGCCGTGACTAGAAATGTATCGTCACATCCCGGGACAGTATATAGTCGGGTTGGAGAGCGGCGGGTGCGGCTGGAATGGCTGCCACACGAGGGAACCGGGAACAGGGCCAGAGGCACAGCGCCAAGGCGTTTCCGTATAGGTGACGGCACGCCCTTCAAAACACAGGTGAGATCTGTGTAGAGGGAAAGGGTGGGAGTAGGGACTGGTTTTGTTTGTGTGTGAATGTCGACACAATCTCTATATGATTTTTTTTTCTATCGTTTTGATTGAGTGCTTTCAACTCAATGATACTGAAAGAGATTTCGCGTCGTCAAGAGCTCTAAAGTCAGTTTTCATATTTACGCTTTTTATGGGCGCCATATAGCCTCGTTGTTGGTGCGCCCTAAACACCAAATCATCATCACAACGCAACTTAGAGTGACGGAAAGCTTATAGAAGCTTGCCCAAGTGCGGACGCAGCCTACTGGCTACTTTATACCCAGTACCGCATTTTTTACGATTATAGCGGCAACTTTAGGAGCTAAAGCACGTCAAGTAAATGATACGCTTTTGATATTGACTTATGAATCGCGAAATTACCTGCTATGACAGGGCAGTTATCATGCCACCTCTAGAAGATTCCTGGACATTTTACGCGCACAATGGGACGTAGATTGTGAACAGGTTTGTTGCGAGTGGGCTCGGGCTAAATCATTTCAGAAGTACTTACCTAGCTGGCATTCACTAACATCTGCTTAATGTTTCCTCCGCTGTCAAACACGTGACATTTGACTGCGTCTCGATTTAACTGCAGTCTTTTCAAAGCACATATTTTGAAATCAACTCAATCATCATAGCAAACAAGACGTTAACATCATATGAATAGCTTTGTTTGTCCACAATGAATTGACGGCTCGTCTTCGTTTCAGGAAAAAAAAACAGAACGTCATTGCTTCCTGCTGGTCAGGAGAGTAACATCTTCCAACTGAAGACATTCAAACGGCAGCCATGAACACAGAAGCAGAGACTAAGGCCCAGGAGGCAGGGGAACTCAAATGTAAGTCGTTAAAAATTCATCCAAATATATTTATGTTTTATTATGATGTTCTTTGATATGTAGATAAACATTTAAAACATCAGATCATGATCATTGCTAACTTGCGTGAAACGTGAAACGCAAACCAACAGAACGAGCATGTCTTTTCCTCAGACCGCCTCTTTCCGTCCGTTCGGATGATTTTCGTCATGCTCGTTGGTATCGGCGTGGGGACCATGATGATCACTCGGTTCAACGTCAGCATTGCCGTCGTCTGCATGGTCGACGATGACGTCACAGAGGGTGTGATGACTTCAGCGGGGGACGGCATGGGAAACGCAACCCGAGACATTGCCATAACGAATGGTGGTGACTTAGAGGTTTCTACAGCGGGAAAAGGACGGGTAAGTATTATTTACCTTTTCTATTTCAAATCAGTTTATTTCAAATTCCATTAGGACGATATATTCCTATTTCAGAATCAGCGTTTACAGTTATACCTAGGTTTTATAGATTCATGCACATCGCAAGTATGGATATGAAGGACGAATGCAATATGTATGTTGATACCAGACTGTCCACTGGACAAACCCCGAGACAAACACCATGTCTTTAGCGTTCATTTGCCTTACAAACGGTGTAACGGCTTTATAATACATATCGGCCATCAGAAATGCCCATCTGCTTTCCAGGGTGAGTTCCAGTGGGACAAGACGTTCCAGGGCCTGCTGCTGTCCAGCTATTTCTACGGCTACACAGCGGGTCTGGTACCGGGCGGGTGGATCGCTGACAAGTGAGTTTTGAGGAGATCATGAAGTACAGAGACTTCGATTTGTTTGATAACCGCTGTTTATACACGGATGTCACTCGATCGGCAACCCGAATTTGGTCATGATTTTCAGTTATCATCCAGAATAAACTCTGTCGGTTGAACTAAAGACATTGCAGTGGGCGCTGCAATGTGTGTCCCTAACTTTAACAAGCCCCCTACTTTTGCGTTTTGGGGTTGAAAATACATCACTTTCTGGCATCGTTCATCATGATTAAGCGTATTCTATTTTCGGCTGACGCCACGTCTGCGCTCCCAGGCTGCCGGTGGTGCTGGTCCTTTTGGTCAGTATCGGTCTGCAGGGCCTGTGGACTCTGGTGTTACCGGTGGTAGCACGAACAGACCCGTACCTTCTGCTGGCTCTGCGCGCACTGCATGGACTCTGCTCGGTTAGTGGAAAAAAACTTCGTAACCTTTCAACAAGACATGATTGAAAAAACGTTTCCTCTTGATAGTATGAGATAAAAGAAAGAACCATAAAAATGTGTTGCTGAAAATGTACGAGTACATCTACGATAAAAAATTGCTCTAGCCAAGCTAACTTTGAGCTAACTGATAAACTCTGGTCACGTTCTATGAGATTCCAACTTCGCCAACGCTTAACCTACGTGATAAGCATTACGTGACCTCTCGGTATGCTCACACAAACTATACCTTTGCTACTGCGCTGTGGACTATGATCCCAACCCTGGCCAGCGCGCGACCTCTACCTCTCTACCTTCTGACCTCTACCCTCGCCGACTTGTGACCTTTCCGCGCAGTCGGCGGCGCTCCCTGCCGCACAGGTGTTCGCCCGAAACTGGAGCGTGCCTGTCGAGTACACCACCGTGTTCTCGCTGTGCTGGGCCTTCCAGTACCTGCTCGGAGGTTCGGCGTACCCCATCTCCAGCTCCATCTGCCAGGCCTGGGGCTGGCCGGCGGTGTTCTACATTACAGGTGAGGCCGCGCCCCTCACATCGATGGTGTGTGGGCACTGAATGGCGTTTCAGTGTAAAACTGTGCCAACTTTTCGTTAAAATTCTCAAAACCATTAGAAAGCTTGAGTATAAAGATTGTCCTGTCCGTATTTTATGGAATCCAGTGTTGAATGCAGTGTCGTATGAATTGTAACTTGTTTCATTGTTGAAGAGAATTCTGTTATTATTTGACCGTTTCCGGGTGTTCCTTTTTTTCAGGGGCGTTTCCGATACTGTGGATGGTCGTAGGCTGGTTCCTTCTGACCAGTTCCCCTGACGAGAGCTCCATCTGCTCGGAGGACGAGAAACGATACCTGGCCTCCAAGAGGCTCTTCAGAGTGGCCACTACGAAATCACTCTCTGATAAAAGTGTAAGTAGGATAAAAAGATACTTTTGTAGTCCACGGTACATGAAGCTGCAGCAATAAATCAAAATTTCCACAACGTAAATAAATTCATTAGGTAATTCAGTAAATAAACTATATAAGTAATAAACTGTAGATTAAAACTTCATAGAACATGTTTCATGCACCGGAAAATTGACAAAAAGTTGAACAGCGGAAATGTTTATAGGACGGGATCATGAAAAATTGATCATGAACCATTGAAATAACTATCCTTTTCTTCTAAAACCAAAAAACTTTTTTGTCTAAAAAAAGACTTCTAGCTGCAGCATGGGTCAAAACTAAAAAAGAAAATGCGTAACGATAACCCGCGCACCGACGGGGGGGGCGGATATCCGCCCCCCCCCCCTGAGGTTTTTCGCGAATAGCGGGAAAACCGCGGCGCGTAGCGCCGCGAAATTTGGTATGACTATTCTCTCATCAATTTTACACATGGTGTGCAAGTTTGAACCTCCTAACTTTTAAGGTCAGGTCACCAGGTCACTTTGAATGACCCAGCCTCGAGTCACTTTTTTGCAACTTTGTCACCGTGCCATGGCTACAGCAGATGTCGGAGGCCTTTGAAAGTCGCAGGATGTTATTAGGTCATTAGTAGCTACAATTTGTATATCTCGGAATTTTGATGTCGGTGACCTAAGGTCAGGTCAATTTCGCGACCTCCCCATTATAAGTCAATGGGGGGGGGGGGGAAATCAACTCCCTGTTTTTACCACTAAAACGGGTCGGAATGGCCCCATATACCATACATGACTTCATATACTATCAACCTTCACTACCTTGAGGTCTGTTTTGCTGTTGGGCAGCTGTAAGGTCATGTGACGTCATCAAAGGTCACCAAAAGTTTTTTTGCCAATAACTCCGTACAGGAACAAGATACAGCCGCGCGGATGGTCTCATTGTGTTCAGCTCGTCAAGACGCATCGAATGATATACATGATGACCTCGAGGTCACGTGACCTGAGGTCAACCTTTGACCTTGACCTTTCGAGGTCAACATATATATCATTCGATGCGGATTGACGAGAGGATCACGATGATGCCCTTAGTTTGTTCCTATCTTGACTAATTCGAAAGTTATTCGAGAAAAATTCTCCATATCTAGCGCCGCCATTTTGACTTTTTCGACCCCTGTGACGTCATCTTTGACCTGACCTGAAAATGACCTGTGTAAAAATTGTAGACCTTGTCCGTGCGTATCCGATGCCGTTTACCGCTTGTCGCTATCTTGCTTCGTTCTCGAGATCTCAGGGGGGGCGGTCATCCGCCCCCCCCCCGTCGCGTCGGTGCGAAGTTGGCGCAGACCCCCGTCGGTGCGCGGGATAACTCAACATTTCAAAGAATCGAGCCGGTGACCCTCTGATGACTGTCCCCTCAGGTGACCCAGGAATCAACACCAATCCTGGCCATCATCACCAACCGTCAGGTGCTGATAGTGATCGGCACCTTCTTCACCAACAGCTGGTTCTACTACGCCCTTAACATCACTCTGCCCACCTTCCTGAAGGAGACCATGGGCGTCAACCTCACTGAGGTGGGTCGTAAGAGATGCCGTGCCTGTACAGTGTACAGATGCCTTAAAATCTTATAAATTAAACGAAGATGTGGCATGACTCTATTGTTGCTTATTATGCTGGTTGGTCGTTATAATTTTACCAACAAATTTGCCGACAAAAATCAAACGTGAAATGAAATATGGTAACAGGTTAGGTATACCCTATTCCATTCTAGCTAAGTCATTTCTGAATAACGCATGTCTTTATCATCACCGCCCATTTTTTTCGCAGAACGGATTTCTCTCCGGTCTTCCGACCATGTCGATGACCGTCGGCTGCGTTGCAGGGGGAAAGGTGTTTCAATACCTGCTCACCAGGTGGCAGTGCAGTCGAACCAATGCTCGTAAAATTATTGCGACTGTCGGTGAGTTCGAAAAAAGTTATTTATTAAATTTATACGTCTAATTTTTGTAGCGTTGTACCTACCTTTTTTGTACCAATGATAATGCCGTAAGTGTCGTTGATTTATAACAATCATGTGTGATAATAAAATAGGTACCTAAATCATATTTTTTTTCAGCGTTCCTGATCCCGGCCGTTCTGCTGGGGGCCATCTTGCTGCTTCCTCCGGGAATGACGTATCTCACGATGAGCCTTCTCGTCTTATGTAACGTTACCTCCGTACTGGGAGTTGCCGGAGGTAAGTGGCATCTCTTTGCATTACCTCAGTAGGTACTAAGGAGAATGCTGATTTTCACGAAGGTATTGCTTGTTGTCTTTACAGAATAAAGTCAATAAGTTATTTCACACAAATGAACAGCAGTCGGGGATTGCCAACAACAGACTTAAAAAACTTTAAAGCGTCATTGAAATTCGCTCTGGCGTCCGTTATAGTTCCTTCTAAAAACCAATTGACATTTACAGCAGGAGAGCATTTAACTTCATTGATTCTCCACACAGCCTCCGTTATCATCACAGCCTCCATTGTCATCATCGTTCTAATGTAACAAACATCAGCACACCGCTGTGACCTCGACACCCGTTTCAGGCCCATTGTCTGCGGGCCCAGACATCGCCCCTCAGTTTGCTGGAGTGATCTGGGGCCTGTCGGGGTCCATCGGAAATCTGACCGGGGTCCTGGCACCCACCATAGCCGCTGCAATGACACCAAACGTGAGTTGCGACTTACTCGTACATGACTTCTTGTAATCTGTTTTATGTATAGGTCATTATTATTCCATTCATGTTGTTTAAAATACGCAAACTACAAATAATTATGTGCATGGATGTGGATATGAGAGCTGTAAAAAGACAGCAAAATAGTCCTTTGCACAAGAATAAAAAACAAACTTAATCATGATCAGATTAGTTAAACTCGAATAGTAAAATCAAGGAGCCGAAAACATTGATAGTGATATGTAGCAACAAGACAAATGAAGTCTATAGCCAATCAGTACCCGCTCAAGAACTGCATCGTATCTCAGGTACTGCATTGATCAGGTATTGTGCTTCTCAAATTGTGATTTGTTAAGAAGACCTCAGAGTGACCATGCCTTTACATTTCTTCAGAAAACTCTACTGGAGTGGCGGTACTTCTTCTTGATCGCACTGGTCATGAACGTCGTAATGGATCTCGCCGTCATTCTGTTCTGGAAGTCAGAGGTGCAAACATTCGCCAAGACGGAAGACATCAGGACAGAAACTCAAAACGGAGACACGTGCAAAGCGTAGAAATGGTCCTTTTGGAGACCATAGACTACCGTAGCAAAATAAGTGCCAAAAAGTATCTGTCCGAAACGTTTGTCAAACGATTCGGCGCCGAATTTCACGAGTGGCTCCAATATGTGGGGTGCATCGGCTCCAGGGTTTTTGAATGTATCGACTGCGCGTGCTTGTACGATGATAGCCTGTAAAACATTGTTGTTCTGTGAAATACTTAAACGCTTGCTTTGACTTACTTAAAGCATGTCACTCAACAAATGTCTTAAAAGTCGTAAATGTGAAATGAAACATGTATTACAAATAAAGGTACGCGTGTCGATTTATTCTCTTTTTGCTTTGTAGTGAATTATGTTACTTACCTAATGATTTTGGTTGAAATGTGGTTCGCCGCGGCACGTGAATAAAATAAGTCAGAGCAGGAGCGTAAATGCAGTTCACAAGCATGGTTGAAAATATGTGATAAGAACTTTCATCTGTATGTAGAATTATGCCAGAAAACGCATGGCAGGCATTACATATGACTACGGTCGGCGTTCGACATCTAAGTGCGAAACAGATGGGAAAATCGCTAGAAATTCCATGCACCACTGGGACATCGAAAGCAATTCCTTGGCCAAATTGCTTTTGTCGCTGAGGCGTCCTAACCACATACCATCATCAACCAATTCCTTACGCAACCAATCATCCGCAGGGCGAGTAAAGTGATCAGCCACGTCGCTCACAATCCATGACAACGAACAACTCGTCCCACAACAGGGCAGGACTGTTTCATAAATAATGCAGCAACCCAGCACAAGCATATGTAGAAAAGCGAGCAGTGCCATTACGACGGACGTCAGACTTCAAGTCTATCAGATGTCCATAATGGGTTGCATGAAGGACAGCATATCTTCTTTGCTGATCTAAGATGGTCTTCTTGCGATCTCTCCGAGACAAAACAGTTTATTTTACGAGCGAGCGAGCGCCGCGAGCGAAGCGAAGTCTTCAATATAACGGAAAAAATATCAGTACCAGTAAAACGAGTAGTAAAGTAATCTTGAGTAAAACGCCTTTTGGGCGAAGAACGAGCGAGCGAGATAGCAAGCCCTGCAGTGCGCAAGGGCAAGAGGGTACTTCCAACGGGCTTGTGCAAAGCACCCTTCTAACCGGTCGCTAGCGATGTGCCAAATTTGAACGCAATCGGCCCAGCCGTTCCTGAGATCTGGAAGCGGCATTCTGCACGTGCGCACGTGCAAAAGGGGTCCAAACTGACTTTTGCACGGCACCCTTCTAACTGCTCCCCAACCGTGTACCAAATTTGAGCGCAATCGGCCCAGCCGTTCTTGAGATCTGGGAGCGCCCCCTGCACGTGCGCACGTGCAGTAGGTAGCACCCTAACCGCAACACATGGGAATGCATTGCCTGGTGGGTGCCTACCTGTATGCCAAGTTTCAGCGAAATCGCCCCAGTAATTACCGAGTTATTGAAATGGGAGCAAATTTGGCACCTCTTCTTTTTACATTTTGCACGTGCAGTGGGGGTCACTCACATAGATCAAGAATGTCCGACCTTTGGTAGAAGGGATGCAGCTACCCTACAAAAATTACCGCAAGACAATCGCCCAAGCAGCTGCTGAGATATGGGCCTCTCAAAATCACTACTTTTGCAAAACAGCTTGAACACCCTTGACTTTTCACGTGGCACGTGCCACGACGATCACCGAGATGTATCGGAAGTACATAGTCAATTACGGGGTAGAAGGAATGGGACTACCCAGCAAAAAGACCGCAGGCCAATCGGTCCAGCGGTTGCTGAGATATAAGCCTCTCAAAAGCGTTACAGGCCGGGCCGGGCCGCTCATACTGAGATTTTTCCGTTATTACGAGCGAGCGAGCGCAGCGAGCGAAGCGAAGTCTTTTCAATATAAGGGAAAAATCTCAGTATGAGCGGCCCGGCCCGGCCCGGCCCGGCCTGTAACGCTTTTGAGAGGCTTATATCTCAGCAACCGCTGGACCGATTGGTCTGCGGTCTTTTTTGCTGGGTAGCCCCATCCCTTCTACCCCGTAATTGACTACTTTTGATACATCTCAGTGACCGTCGTGGCACGTGCCACGTGAAAAGTCAAGGGTGTTCAAGCAGTTTTGCAAAAGTAATGATTTTGAGAGGCCCATATCTCAGCAGCGGCTTGAGCGATTGTCTTGCGGTAATTTTTATTACGAGCGAGCGAGCGCAGCGAGCGAAGCGAAGTCTTTTCAATATAAAGGAAAAATCTCAGTATGAGCGGCCCGGCCCGGCCCGGCCCGGCCTGTAACGCTTTTGAGAGGCTTATATCTCAGCAACCGCTGGACCGATTGGTCTGCGGTCTTTTTTGCTGGGTAGCCCCATCCCTTCTACCCCGTAATTGACTACTTTTGATACATCTCAGTGACCGTCGTGGCACGTGCCACGTGAAAAGTCAAGGGTGTTCAAGCAGTTTTGCAAAAGTAATGATTTTGAGAGGCCCATATCTCAGCAGCGGCTTGAGCGATTGTCTTGCGGTAATTTTTATTACGAGCGAGCGAGCGCAGCGAGCGAAGCGAAGTCTTTTCAATATAAGGGAAAAATCTCAGTATGAGCGGCCCGGCCCGGCCCGGCCCGGCCTGTAACGCTTTTGAGAGGCTTATATCTCAGCAACCGCTGGACCGATTGGTCTGCGGTCTTTTTTGCTGGGTAGCCCCATCCCTTCTACCCCGTAATTGACTACTTTTGATACATCTCAGTGACCGTCGTGGCACGTGCCACGTGAAAAGTCAAGGGTGTTCAAGCAGTTTTGCAAAAGTAATGATTTTGAGAGGCCCATATCTCAGCAGCGGCTTGAGCGATTGTCTTGCGGTAATTTTTATTACGAGCGAGCGAGCGCAGCGAGCGAAGCGAAGTCTTTTCAATATAACGGAAAAATCTCAGTATCAGCGGCCCGGCCCGGCCCGGCCCGGCTTGTAACGCTTTTGAGAGGCTTATATCTCAGCAACCGCTGGACCGATTGGCCTGCTGTCTTTTTTTTGCTGGGTAGTCCCATTCCTTCTACCCCGTAATTGACTATGTACTTCCGATACATCTCGGTGATCGTCGTGGCACGTGCCACGTGAAAAGTCAAGGGTGTTCAAGCTGTTTTGCAAAAGTAGTGATTTTGAGAGGCCCATATCTCAGCAGCTGCTTGGGCGATTGTCTTGCGGTAATTTTTGTAGGGTAGCTGCATCCCTTCTACCAAAGGTCGGACATTCTTGATCTATGTGAGTGACCCCCACTGCACGTGCAAAATGTAAAAAGAAGAGGTGACAAATTTGCTCCCATTTCAATAACTCGGTAATTACTGGGGCGATTTCGCTGAAACTTGGCATACAGGTAGGCACCCACCAGGCAATGCATTCCCATGTGTTGCGGTTAGGGTGCTACCTACTGCACGTGCGCACGTGCAGGGGGCGCTCCCAGATCTCAAGAACGGCTGGGCCGATTGCGCTCAAATTTGGTACACGGTTGGGGACCAGTTAGTAGGGTGCCGTGCAAAAGTCAGTTTGGACCCCATTTGCACGTGCGCACGTGCAGAATGCTGCTTCCAGATCTCAGGAACGGCTGGGCCGATTGCGTTCAAATTTGGCACACGGCTATCGACCGGTTAGAAGGGTGCTTTGCGCAAGCCCGTTGGAAGTACCCTCTCGCCCTTCCGCACGTGCAGGGCTCACTATCTCGCTCGCTCGTTCTTCGCCCAAAAGGCGTTTTACTGGTATTGAAAAGACTCACTTCGCTCGCTGCGCTCGCTCGCTCGTAATGAGCAGCCCGTCCCGGCCCGGCCCGGCCCGGCCCGGCCTGTAACGCTTTTGAGATGCTTATATCTCAGCAACCGCTGGACCGATTGGCCTGCAGTCTTTTTTGCTGGGTAGCCCCACCCCTTCTACCCCGTAATTGACTACTTTTGATACATCTCAGTGACCGTCCTGGCACGTGCCACGTGAAAAGTCAAGGGTGTTCAAGCTGTTTTCCAAAAGAAGTGATTTTGAGAGGCTCATATCTCAGCAGCCGCTTGGGCGATTGTCTTGCGGTAATTTTTGTAGGGTAGCTGCACCCCTTCTACCAAAGGTCGGATACTCTTGAGCTATGTGAGTGCCCCCCACTGTACGTGCAAAATACAAAAAGAAGAGGTGCCAAATTTGTTCCCATTTCAGTAACTCAGTAATTACTGGGGCGATTTCGCTGAAACTTGGCATACAGGTAGGCACCCACCAGGCAATGCATTCCCATGTATTGTGGTTAAGGTGATACTGCACGTGCGCACGTGCAGGGGGCGCTTCCAGATCTCGAGAACGGCTGGGCCGGTTACGCTCAAATTTGGTACACGGTTGGGGACCGGTTAGTAGGGTGCCGTGCAAAAGTCAATTTTGACCCCGTTTGCACGTGCGCACGTGCAGAATGCCGCTTCCAGATCTCAGGAACGGCTGGGCCGATTGCGTTCAAATTTGGCACACTAGCGACCGGTTAGTAGGGTGCCGTGTAAAAGTCCATTTGAACCCCGTTTGCACGTGCGCACGTGCAGAATGCCGCTTCCAGATCTGAGGAACGGCTGGGCCGATTGCGTTCAAATTTGGCACACCGTTAGCGACCGGTTAGAAGGGTGCTTTGCACAGGCCCCGTTGGAAGTACCCTCTCGCCCTTCCGCACGTGCAGGCTCACTATCTCGCTCGCTCGTTCTTCGCCCAAAAGGCGTTTTACTGGTACATATATAGCGTAGCCGTGTTTGGTCAGACCAAGGCTATAGAAGGTCAGACCATGACGTTGACCTCCATTTCAAGTTATTTTAGTATACACTACAGCCAGATTGAACATCACTGAGAATCCTGTTCATTGATCGTGGTAGCCCCAAACTTGTGACGTTGTGGAAACTATATATATAACAGAAATGACTCGCGTAAATATCACTGCGATGTTTCGTCTTTTTTCCTCTAATTTTCAAATCATTGCCTCAAGCCAACCGTTGCAACCAACTGCAATGTTCAATTTTATGACGGAATAACGCAGAACTGGAAAACGTAAGCTGTAAAACATACACTGTACAGGTCCATTGTTGGTTTTAATGCACCACATCACCTCTGGTATAATTTTTATTTCAAAAGCTTTTCTGTATTCTGTATTCTGTATTCTGTATTTATTAGATCGCCAACAGACCCATCGCCCTTTTACTGACGAAGTCAGACAGTACCTACATAAGAATAAACGTTCGATAAAACAAGATCGATAAAAGTAAAGCACGTGAGTATGATATAAAAGATCACATGAAAGTGCCTTGCGTAATTGTGAAGCCGATAGTGCGTGTTTTAAAGGTAGTGTGCCACCTTTGAAAGGTTTCCCATTTTATTTTTCCTAGGATAAGAAGCTTCTGTTTTTACCTAATATCGCAAAAAAAAAATCAAAAATGGGCCTGGAATAGTGCCTTTTTCGCCTAAAAGTTTATCGGTTTTTCGATATGTATAACAACTGTAGTGGGCTGAGCTGCAAACAGGCGTCGGCAACAATCGCGAATGCGGCGCACATGTGACAATAAGCAAAGGTCATTATAGAGTTACGACGTACGGGAATGAGTTATCAGCTGTCTAATCGTAGACAACACAATGTCGAGCCTTAAACTGTAAGCCTGTATTGGTATTGTTTCTTTTATTTGGCTGTCGAACATTATTTATGGTTTGAAATATGATTTTATGTAAAATAATTGATATGAAAAAGCCGTCTCTTAAGTTATGACCCCATTTCACCACACGCAAGTGGCAGAAATGACAATGATCAGCTGACGCATTTTTCTTGGCCGAAGTCAGAGCGCGCGGCCCGACGCACCACCACCGCACCACAAAGTATGAGCAGAAGCCGCGCCCAAAGCCAGGGCCCCGGTAACGTGAGGTAGCCGAGTCGGGGCAGCGTGCGCTGACCCAAGCCGGGGCCGCAGCTTTGGGCGCGGTCTACCGCATCCCCGCGGGCAGCCCCGGGCTATCACATGACACCGGGAGGACGCGCGGCCCCGGCTTCGGTCAGCGCACGCTGCCCCGACTCGGCTACCTCACGTTACCGGGGCCCTGGCTTTGGGCGCGGTCTACCGCAACCACCTAACAGGCGTGTTCGAAACCGCAGGAGATGATGATGAACGGGTTTATCGAAACTTGATTGGATGAGCATATCGGTAATAGCGATTTCAGTGTGTGCATTTATTGTTCATAGTGGTGTGAAATGTGGTTGGGGTACGACCGACAACCCGTCGGGGCGAATTTCGCACTGGGGTACTCAAAATTTGAAGAATTTAAGACGTTTCCATGAGTTTTGAAGGTATGGATAAGTTCTAAAAATCCGGTTCTCCTTATCTGGGCCATTAACTCCATACGGTCCAGGAAAGCTGGCACACTACCTTTAAATGAGTATGAACTACCAGTAAAGAAGTCGGTGGTCGGGTCATGGAGCAAGAATGAGTTGCATGCAGCTGGGATCCTGACAAACAAACATCGTTGCACAGTGTTCACTCGCGCGCGCGGTGTGTTCCACAGAACCGCGCTCCTCGTCCTCCGTGCCGGTACGGCAAGACCGAACACACCGACTAACACATCATTGTCCAGCTTCCCACGATGAATGTGGAATAAAAACATGATATCGTACTGTATGAATCTAGACTTGATGGAGCGCACTTTAAAATGTGAGAGTAAAACCAAGTAGTCCAGGTCGTCAGAGCGCCTGTCAGAGTAACGAGCTAACCACATCAGAAACTTGTGCTGCACTCGCTCGAGCCTTGTCAGGTGAGATGCAGCCGCTCCAGCCCATATGACACAGCCATACTCGATGATTGAACGCACATGAGCGTAGTACGTACACAACATGGCTTTGTGATCAAAGGCGGCTCAAAAAGGCGGCTTTTCAATTCTTAATGTGAAAATTTTATCGCAAATATTTTTCAGATCATTGCTGATCTGTCAGGAGCAGGGTTGTATACCAATCAAGTCGATTGAATTGATTGATTTGATTCAACGCGTATTTTGAGTTGATTGGATTGAGTCGATTGACTTTTCGAGATGACTGGTTGACTGACTCGTTTGACTTTAGCGACTGGTTGACTGATTTGATTCCCGAAAATTAGAGTGACTCGTATGATTGAGTCGATTGAATGGAAAGTTGAAATAAGTTTTAGTTGACGAAAAATAATGACACCAATTGATGACATCAAAGATCACAAAACTACACTGAAAACTGCTTGTCATCACAACTGCAATATGGGGTAGATTGCCAAATAAAGAACAGGGCCTAAACATGAACGGCCAACTTTGACTTTCAACTGCAATAACTGCTCCAATCCTGTGATAGAACCTGGCGATGCACCTACCTACCTACCTTTCTGCACTCAGCAGGAAACTTTTTTTTAAATCCAGATGATAAAGTGCAAGGCCCTATATACTAATAAAGTGTGATTAATTAATAATTCACATCTCCACATCTCCTCAAAAACAACCCACTGAACCAACACTGAACTCTATAAATATCTGAAAACCCTACAAAAATAACTGAAACAAAAGCGCCGTTTTCGTCTCGCTAATTACGTTTACATTAATAGCTAATTTGCTGCATTAATTAATTTGCAGCAGAACGTTTGTTGATCCTTTTCTCCTGAGAGCCTAGGCATAACATATTTAATAGGTATATTTCATTTTCCTTAAAATATTTTACCGAATATTATTAAGTGGTTTTATTTCAAATGAAATAATAATTAAAACGAAATTGGTGTTGTACAACCGATTTATTTTATGATGATCTACCATACTACATGATAATCAATGACGTCATCTTACCAAAAAATTAAAAGACGTAGAATAAGGATTTATAAAAGCTTAGCATACTTATTGGCAAAACGTTTTCTTTGTTTTTTCGCAGTCGCACCGTGCCGTTTTCGCGTTTTAATTTTCTTTTCCTTGCTCTTCTTCCTTTGTCCTTAACTTATCCTGTGGTTCCAGAGTCCCTGTCCTTTCCATTTCCTTTTAAATATATTTTTAATGCTCATCCCTATCCCCCAGTCCTAACAGTTTCAAATTGTATTGCAATACAATGTTTTGAATTCTTCACATATAACCTATCGGCTATCTACCTTCGTTGGTACTGTTGGTAGCCAGTGACACATCTAGGCAGGTAAGTAGGTACCTACCTGCTTTCCTGCTGTCTTCATAAAGCATACCTAATGAAGTTGTCAAATTTGTAGCACATTTTCAACACTTTCATATGCTGTCAGTGTGGCATGTAACCTAGCTAGGTTCATTATGTTCAGGGTTCAATTCAGAAGAGCTCCGCATAACTCACATAAGAGACAGACGGGGGCTTTACATGGGGTAGATGGCCTGATGACTTAGCTGGAATATGACCAAAATTAAATTGACAACTTTTAGGTGAAAGGTGGTGATTTGGGTTAAGGGGCGTTTGTTGAAGTCAACTACTGGGTTATTTTGCACCCATTAAATGAAACTTCTGCTCCAATTCTACCCATTGAACCTCAATATCATGATCCACCTGTCCATCACTCCTTCCATCCTTCCTTATTACATAGAAACTTTGAATGGCATGGCAATTTATAATTTTAAATGACAATATTTTTATGGTTCTTCTGTAGGTAGGTAGGTAGGTAGGTACACCAGACTGCTATGGACACTTTTCCAAGTTGGTGGGGCAAAAAACCTAATGTATATCTTGGTTTGAGTCGTTTGATTGAGTTGATTGATTCCTTTCATTGTCGCGTTTGAGTCGATTGAATCAATTCCCGAAAACTGCTCTGACTTGATTGATTTGATTGGTTTCCCAAATTTGTCGTGATTGAATTAATTGCTATTGATTGAGTCGTATACAACCCTGGTCAGGAGCCTAAAGAATAATTGATGAAGGTTTCTCAGATTTATTTTAAGCATGATTTCGGTTCGGCCTCCGATTGCTGATTCTTGCTGCATGGCCCAGAAGCCGGAAGCCAAAGAAGAACGTAAAAAATACCCTAGGTCCGAAAAGAACGTGAACAACTTGAGAAATGCCCAATAGAAATCCCTGGTCTTACTGACACCGACTTTGAGCATCCAGTCCTTTGCCCCTTGACCTTTTTATTGCCGCTTAATCACGTTCCAATTCATCGCTCCATGTATCTGAGGCCAGGGGGCTTGTCAACAGGGCATTATTCTTGACGGCACCTGTAAGGGGTTGTGACGGTCAATAGTTAGCTGAGGTTGTTGTCAGAAAAACAGCAGGTATATAACTGATAGGCGGCTGGATGGGTCGAGGTAGTGATCTCTATGGCAGTGACCGCGTCTGATCTTTATTTCAAGACCTGAGACTCTTCAGCGGTGAGTTGGTTATGTTTTATCGATAAGTCTTGTCTTCCGTATTCGCCACGAGTATGCACGTGTATCTCATTTTATATGATATGAGAGCCACCAAGTGTGTACGCTATGTATGATGGCCGTAGAACTGTTAAAGGAATCGCTGAACATCATTTATGCGTTTTTACGAAAGAGCAAATTCTATATCTTCAAAGAGACCTTGGATGGCGTATGCGTCTCGATTGGGATCCGAACTAACCCTTCAGAAAAGACAGCTGAGACCTCTTGCACCAAAATCCTCTTGCACCAATCTGCTGGGATTATTTTGCATCGTATACCCAGTCCAAGTCTCAAATGTAACAATTTGCGTGCAAAATTTAACAAGCACATGTAGGATTATGTATTGGGCTATTGCAAACAAATTTACCACCGTTAGATTAGCTTATTCTGAAACCGGTTTTTCGATTTTACCTAGCTAGGTAGTTTGGTGCAAGAGGCCACTGGTCGTGAATCTGACCGGCCCAAATTGGCTGTTTATTTTGATGTCAGACAGAGAGCGGCCTTGATGATGTACGTCCGTTACGTAAGCACGAGATTGACCTTTTATGTCGTCTGCCACGTCAGACTCCGAGCTTGTCGGCAAGATATTTGTGAACAAAATATATCAGTACCTCAAAAACATCTAAACAAAACATTGTGTGGCATCTGATCATTACACAGTGTGTCACAATTTTCAGCATAAAGAGACAAACTTCTTCGTATTTACAGAGCAGCCAAAATATAAGCGAGCAGCACAATGGCAAATGCTGCTCAAGAAAAAGCAGAAGAAGCAGGAGCAATAGACTGTGAGTTAACATAATATATGGCACTGCGTTGTGATTTAATATTTTTCAATGTAAAATAGTATTTTAAACGACATACAAGTTAGTACTGGTTGATATGCTGTCATTTGTCTTCTAATCATTTTACTTCAGACAAAACTTTGATACTAATATATTCTTTTTCGGGCGTCAACTCGTTTTTTTCGGACGGACATGCCAATGCTTTTGTTTTAAGGCGCGTGATTGTCCATTTTCCCTGCAGACCCGCTGCTGCCCTCGGTGCGTTTTTCTCTGGTGCTTCTGGTTGGATTCGGCGCCGGTATCATGCTCATCACCCGGTTCAACGTCAGCATTGCTGTTGTCTGCATGGTGGACGGCACTGATGCCGAGCCAGTCTCGCCCGAGAGTTTGATGGCGTCATCAGAGAATAACGCGGTGAACGGCACTACTGGCGCCACCGTGTGGGAAGAAGGAGAATTAGACAATGGAGTGCAGAGTACAGTTCAGGTTAGTCAACTTTTCAGATGTTTTATATTTTGAACAAACGTGATTATAAGCGTTTTGCACTATTTGGTAAAATCAGAAAATCAGCCCATGAAGTTTTTTACACATCGTATAAAAAGTTTCAATTGCTCACAAATCCCTTCGCGGGATCTTAGGTAAATACAAACGACAAAATTTCAGCTTAGTACGAGTTAAGTGTACTCGACTCGTATATGGTTGCAATGGATCCTAAGAGACCTAAATGACCTGCCACTTCTTCCGTTTCTGCAGCAGGGTGAGTTCCAGTGGGACAAGACGTTCCAGGGCCTGCTACTGTCCAGCTATTTCTACGGCTACACAGCGGCACTGGTACCGGCTGGGTGGCTGGCCGACAGGTGAGGGCTCAGCTCGTCAGAAATGTCATGAGAGGTCACTGCTTATGTAACGATACTGAATTATCAGATGTCACAAAGGCATGCTCAACGGTCACAAAAGTTTAGGTAGGAAGAGTCCCAAAGACCAAACTTCAGGTCATCAGCAAGTGAGGCGAGAGGTGAGGTCACCGGTCTATCAATACTGGCACGAGAGGCCACGAATTTGGTACTGATGCTGATAAAGACGTCCCAAAGGTGAGATCGCCGGTCACTGATACTCAAGGCGCGAGGAGCCCCACAGATAAGGTCACCTCAAATCAATGCGGGCACAGGTCGACAGCTGGAGCTGGTCGATGTTTCTGGATCCTTCCTGACGATCCATAACCTCAGCTGTTGTTTTCGGACTCTGGGCGCTACTGCGTCACTGAAATGGCGAAGGTGTGTGCTAGAAATCTATTCAACGTCACGTTTGTGCAAACATTACGTAGATAAATGACATTCGGTGTTCTAGGTGTATCAAAACGTGACCGTTCAACGCGAGATAATGGGCTAAAAACAAAGGACCCTTGTCCAAGGTTCTTGTCTGTGATATATTTCGTTGCTAAGAATTATTTGTTTGACTTACAGGTAATACCAAATCATTTTCTGTATACCCGTCCCTATTCGATCATCTCTCTGCAAAGAAACAACAGACAAATCAAACATCCCATCGGAATGGTGTGATAATCTACCCGCGGTCAGCCGCCAGTATAGAATAATAATCTGACCGTAGTTTAACTTTTGTCTTCTGTACAGGCTGCCGGTCGTGACGCTGATTTTGGCCGGTATCGCCTCACAGGGCCTGTGCACCCTGGCCTTTCCCGTCGTCGCGCGCACTAACGACTACCTCCTGCTGGCACTGAGGGCCTTCATGGGTCTCTGCTGCGTGAGTTGATAACTGATTGCCTTTCTTGTGTTCTTTTTTTTCTACACGTCCGTCAGTTGGCAATTAGGTTGACAAGGTGTGAAAGCTTTACAACCTCTATGACCTCTGTGATCTTTCTGACCCTTTTAGTTGAATCATTTCGTATCTTTCGGTGTGATCTCTGCCCGACCTGACTTATGAATGGCTTTGTGGCTCATTGGATCATGGACCATTCTATACGACCTTTGTGCTCTCTGCAATGACCACATCAAGATCTTTGTTTGACCTGTCTGACGTCCCTGTGTAACCTCTGTATGACCTTTATCTGCCCTTAATTTGACCCCTAGCTATGTGACCTCTGTCCCTGCAGTCCGTGGTTCTCCCCGCCGCCACGGTGTTCATACGAAACTGGAGCGTGCCGGTAGAATACGCCACGGCGTTCGCGGTGTGTTTCTCGATCCAGTACCTGTTTGCTGGCGCAGCCTACCCCATATCCAGCTCCATCTGCCAGGCTGGAGGCTGGCCGCTCGTCTTCTACGTCACAGGTATGACGTCACAGGTATATGACAACACTGGGACACTTCGTAGCATCGGTAGCTTATAAGTCAACATTGATCAAGGCAATAAAACCGCTGTGAATTAGCAATAGTAGTTATTTTAGCTGATCAATTATTTCGTCAAGGGAAACGTTAGCCATTAGTTTATCCATCAATCAATCCAATGGGTAATGGTTCAATATTTGTATTTTCATTAAGAAGAGTTTCATGACGAATCTTGGGTTAAACAAACAAAAATTGAACTGAATCTGAACTGGCTCTGGAATAATGACTGACCCTTCCATTATTATCGTCTGTGTTTTTCCCAGGTGCCCTGCCACTGCTGTGGGTGGTGATCGCCTCGTTCGTCCTGACCAGTTCCCCCGACGATAGCTCCATCTGTTCGGAGGACGAGAAGCGCTACCTGGCATCCAAACGGCTGTGCAGAATTGAGTCCACCAAGTCTTTTTCGGATAAAAGCGTGAGTATTGACGGTGATATGTTTTAGAGACAGTGACAAAAAACGTTTGTTGATGCTACCCATGTTTGTTATGATTAAATCATATCCAAAAAGGCGCAGAAACTTCATTTCCCGTCATTTGGAGAAAATTCACTGCACGGTTTAACGCTATTCGAGGGCTCGAATTAACGAATAATTAGTGTAGGTGAGCCGAAAAGCGCAAATGAGTGAATTTTTTAAAGCATAAGGTAGGCCAAATTGATTTTTTCATTAAAACGCTTCGGGCACTTCCACGTAACTTCCATATTGTCTTTCGGCAGGTGCAGCGACCGGCCACGCCTCTCTGGGCAATCCTGACCAACCTGCAGGTGTGGATCATCGTCTTCACCTTCTTCAGCCACAGCTGGTTCTACTTCGCCCTCAACATCACACTGCCCACCTTCCTGAAGGAGACCATGGGCGTCCGACTGACAGAGGTCAGCTGATTGTGATGTCATTTCTGTTCTATTAGTCACCGGGAGATAGGCCATTGGCGGCCATTGGCAAACACGTATGACAATTTGTGTGCGAATTTTCATGACCAAATAATCATTCTCAAGGTTTCATACTGGAAATGAATGTTAAAATTGTAGTAAGGAACACGGAGCAGTAAACTAACTAAAAGTCCAGTAACCTTAATTCTGACAACGATGAAAAATGTCCCGGTTTTCATCTCCGGCCTCGCATCCCTAAATAAACGAAACGATTTGTTATGGTGTTTGCTTGCAATCCATGAATGACCATGGCATTTTATTGGTCTGATGGTTTTACAGTACACTTAAAGGGACCCTCCCACCTTCAAAAAAGTTAATGAATTGGCATGAAAGTGGTGTCGCTCGGTTCAGAAAGAGCAAAAACAAATATCTACCAAATTTCATCGAAAAATATTCACCGGTTTTCAAGATATTAGACTTTTACTTTTGTTTACTTTTTGGGATCTCCGCTGTTCCTAGCGACTTTATTTGAAAGTGCGGCATTTGTTGCGCGCAAAGCAGCGTATACCACCGCGTGCTACAAAACGTTTAAGTCAAACATTTAAAAATCCTTAGATATCTGCGCTGACGTCACACATTCAGAGGGGTATTCCCATGCATTAGCCCCTCTGAATCAAAATGCTGCAATTTTGAAATTCAATATTTCCTATTTAAGGCATTTCTCGATGTTGTGAGTGCCGAAACCGGTAATTGTGAGCCAGGGACCCCATTTTGGCTATCTCAACTCAAATCTAATGTTAAGGTGGGAGGGTCCCTTTAATTAACGGAAATGAAATTAACAGTACCCGTTTTGCCACCGGTTCACAGAATGGGATCCTCTCGGGTATTCCTGTGATGTCCATGACGCTTGGCGTACTGGCTGGAGGGAAAATATTCCAACAGCTGCTCACCAAGTGGCACTTCACTCGCACGAACGCCCGCAAAATAATGGCGACAATATGTGAGTAGATTTGTGTCAAAGAGAACCTTCAATAGTTTGGTGGACTATGATTTTGTTTTGGTAATTTTACCAAGCAGGTTAAAAAAGTAGAACAAGGGATAGACTGCATGAAAAGAGAGAAAGTTAAATGAAATGACTACTCTGCATTTTACATGTTGTTCGTGGTCTCTTTGCAGCGATGGTTGTGCCGGCCGTGCTACTGGGCGCCATCTTGCTCATACCTCCCGGGAGACCATATTTGACCATGATTCTGCTGGTCTGCAGCAACACCGTCTCTGTCCTCTGCGTGTCAGGAGGTGAAAACGAAAACAGCGATATAAAGGGCAGGGCTTAATGGTTCGCTTGATTTCTAGCTGGAGCACGACGATTCAACGGAAAAGGATATTTGTTGTAAAGCCTGTTAAAATCTCGCACAATTTTTGATCATTTCTTTTGCATACAGGCTTGCCCGAATAAGTGCTTCGACATTTTTCCGATTATCTGGTTCAACTTATCCAGAGCACCGTCAAGCATGTCGTTCGTGTAACTTGATTCCAAACTATAGAAGGCCCTGCCACTTTTTCAGGCCCCCTGTCCGCGGGCCCGGACATCGCGCCTCAGTTCGCTGGGGTGATCTGGGGCCTGTCCGGGTCCATTGGAAACCTCACCGGGGTCCTGGCGCCAACCGTGGCTGCTGCAATGACACCAAACGTGAGGCAAACTGCGGAGAGAAGGCATGCATAACTTCTTAGCCCAGTCTGTTAGGCATTGCCCAATGCACAATGCCCATGGTTGTGGTTTTCCATGGGCTGAATTTGGGCTGAATATGGGCTCTCTTGATCAACATGTGGTTTTCCAACTCTTTTCATAATCGTGCGCATTATTTTGTCCTCTTTTGAGATAAGGTAAAACGTTACCGTATAATGTTGAAACATTAACTGTTGTTGCATTACAAGTAGCATTTCATCTTCCGCATGCCTCGCAGTTGTACTGCTCGTTAATTGGCTTTGATAGAAATATTTTGTTGCTATATAATGAAAATGTGAGTACCTAATTTTCGTCTTTTTACTTTCAGAAAACATTGCAAGAATGGCGGTACTTCTTTTTGATCGCAGTTGTCATGAGTATCGCCATGGACGTTATCATCTTGCTCTTCTGGAAGTCTGAAATACAACCGTTCGCAAAATCCGATGACGACCTAAATGAGGATAGAAGCACTATCGAGGCGTAGTGTTTGTTTTATAAGTGCCATGCTCTTGATTGTGTGAGGTCAGTGTATATTACCTTGTGATAAATAACTTCAGAATGTCCTGACGATAGTGCCATGTTATGCATCTCATAGTTTCTGCCGGTCAATGTGTTAATACATTCATCTACAGATGCTGGATTTGATCAAGTCAGAAAGGGAACTGGTATGTCCTCTTTTTGTTGACTTTCGGGAGACCATAACTTTTTTCGCCGATACAGCTTGGTGCAAAACGGCGCCACACTTGCAATACACATAAGGAAAAACAGGCCACTCGCGCCAGCCAGCCCGGAGGGACGGGTAACATAAGCACTAAGCAGCATATCCGCAATGCATCGAATATGCACTCATAATATTTCGTTTGAACAATTTTACCTATCATTACATAAACAATGTTCCGTAAAAACAGATCCTGTGAACTATGCGCCTGCAAAGTGGGTTCGTAGTGTCTTAGCGTCGCATCCGAGCTCAAAGCCACCCATTCATCCATTCGGACAAAACATCTTTTTTATGTCCGCTTATGCTCCATTACCAATCAAGTACCAATGATTCGCCTCTCCGCCGGCGCCATCCTCAGCGGGTTTTTCTCGTGCGGCCAGCGCCCGGCGGAGGAATGTTTTGAAGGTCCGGTGGGTTGTTTTCGCGAGAGGGCCCTGCCACTACTGCCGCCCTTTCTCCCACCAGTATCCTGAGGCGAGCCCCGAGGCTATCCCTCAGTCTGATGAAGAGGAAAGTTCACCGACCGATAGCCAGGTGAGGGGACTCTGGTGAGCCGCGCCGCCCAGTCTGCCGGTTACCCCTCTATCGTAAGGAGATGGTGACCATGAGGGCCGTCCTGCTAGCGGTGCTGCTTGGGGTCATCGCTGGGCCGGAAGGTGTACGCTCGGTCGCCCTCGGAGTGCCTACTCTGCATCCCTCCGTCAGTGATGGTGAGTGACCTTTAATAATGTTTTGAGTTGAACTTTTATTGCAGCTTATGTGTTGATTTGTAAGGTATCAGAAAATATTCTCCTTTTTCACACTCTAGTGGGACTGGTTTGCTCAGCAGCCCCAGCGAATCGCTTTGAGGTCTGGGACTGAGGAAGTTGTTTATTTTACGAGAACGCAAGAAATATGTTGATTGTTGACAAATCACCCTTCCCTTTCTCTATCGATATAGAAGCAAAGGAGGTGTTAAATCAATTATGATGATTATTTGAAATGCGGAGGTTGTTTTGTTTTGTGTCATGGTAAAATTTAGGATATTTTGTAATGTTGGTATATTGCATCCATTTTTTTTTTTGCATTGTGCGTCTTTCTACAATAACCCAATATTCCAATGTCTTATATAATATTGACTTAACTAACGCCGCCCGTCCGTGACGTTATTTTGCCAGAGGGCGGTGTGGATGCGCGCGGCTTTCTGCTGCCGTGGCGGGTTCACATCACCCACCATACCGTGACGACACTGGTCACCGTCACCAAGCCCTTCTTGTGCGACGATACGAGTAAGCGTGAATTGTGGCAAAGCAGTGTTTAACTTTGAATAACGTAACTTAATTTTGCCCAACATTATTTGGGCATACATAACCAGCAAATAATATTTGCTAATATAATGATAATAATAATAATAATAATATAATATAATATAACAATAATCAGCAAATATTTGGGCAAATAATCAGCATACATATCCACAAGTTTATTTTCATCTAAAACACTTTCATCGTGTTAATATGATTTTATGTAATTCTTAACTGACATTAATTTATATCAGACTCTGAAGGTTGAAACAGGCTGTTTCCGCAGTCAGGAATTTGTATGCGAGAGCTTATTCAAATTTAATTTGTGCTCGCATCCATCGAATTGTTTTAAACTCGCTCCTTGCGTACAATCGATGCGATGCATTTGAATAGGCTCTCACATGCGATTTCCTGAGTGGAGAAATAATTTGCTTCAGCCTTAACCGGTTGTTTGAGACACCCAACAGACCTATGCGTGTATATTCGGAAGGATATGTGCTAAGGGAGCATCGGCAACCTTGCTTGGTGTTAAAATAATTAGAAAGCCTTCGTGTGTTTATTCTGCATTGTCAGTGCGCATTGTCAATTAAAAACCGTCGTGTTTTTTTCTCTCTTTTTAGACAACCGTTGCCGAACTACTCAAATGCCGACTGTTCCTTCAACAGATGACGTAAGTTTGAATTATGCATTTATCGCTTGCCGAAACTATCTTTCGTTTTAATGACTTCGCACGCGTCACTTGTGTAGACTTGTGTATCAAAATTAATTCGTCAGTTTATAGCCGGGCCTATTACAAGTTCGTCAATGAATTAGTGATAATTTAATGCTAAGATATGCTCGGTTGAGCTTATTAGTCCGAGGTTGGAAAAACTAAATCGAACAAAAGCGAAAAATTTAGATGAATTATTTGTCTCCCATGGCAAGCTGTCAGATACAACGCTCAATTCAAAAAGTGAGTAACTGATCAAAATACGAATTGTTTCCTCGCCTAAACCCAAGCATCATTGGTTTGCCACTATGATAGTATTCAGTCAAAGTATCAAAAAGTTTAGAGTTGCTAATTGAGGTGCTCTTTAAACTACTGAGCTAAGCTTTTTCTCCAATTTATACAGGGCTGCGGTGCGAGACGGAGGACGTCATCTCCCGTGAGGACGGCCTCTCAGAAGCCGGCCCCCGTCGCATCAGCTCCGGCGAAAAGCCGTCCGAATCGCCGACGTCCAGTCAAAAACAACAACACAAACACAAAAACAAACACAAACACAAACACAAACACAAACACAAACACAGTGTCTGGGCCGAGGCCGACCGTTATCGAGACAGATCGGGTGACCATTGAGATCATTCCTCCCGGCAGCAGTTCGGCGGACGCTGGGGATGTTCATAAGGTTATTTTGAAGAGTGGGGACGTGGAAGACCAGGGTGTCGATGATGATGTGAAACCGGCGCCACAGACAGAGCCTGTGGCAGAGACGCAAAATATAGATACTAACACAGATGCACAGGAGCATACAAGGGTTAAAGTGGCGCTTGCTGGGGACATCGACTCAGGAGCAGACACAGAGGAAAATATTGAAGATATTGATTCAGAAACAGACACAAAGGAGCAGTCAGAGGTCAACATCGCGCCAGAAGAAGCGAAGGATGCCCACACACTGGCTGAGACGGAGCAACCAGAGCCTGGTATGTCTGGAGAGATTATTAATGAAGAACATGCAGAGTCTGATATAAATGTGAGCACTGACTCGCACGCAGGCATCACCACTCTGGCAGCAAAGGACTCTCATGAGATCGATAATAAATCGCAGATACAGACAGACTCAGAAGCAAACACTGACGTGGAGGTGGAGGCGGAGCATGGCTCGGTAATCACAACAGCATCACTGGAGGACTTTAACTCGCAAACAGACAGTGAACCAGACGCACATATTGACTCAGAAATAACACATCCTGACTCAGTTAGCGACCCTGAATTCTCAGACATGCAAATTGATCCAGTGGTTGCTGATATGGTGCGGCTTGGTACTCCCTCACCAGCCAAAGACATCATTGTTGAGAGTGATTTAAAAACAGAAGACGAAGAAGGCAGTGGTGAGCATGACATGAACAATGAGGGACATGAAGCTGGCCATGCAGATGACATTGGGAGTGGGGAACAGGACAAGGATGACGATGAAAAGGAGTTGGGCAGCGGGGAGCAGGACATAGTTGAGCAAGAACACGATACAGCCAAAGAAGAAAACCATTTTGCTCATGAAGAAAATGATGCGGCCAGTGGAGATAAGGACATGAGCGCTGCAGAAAAGGTTATCGTCAGTGAAGAAGCAGGCTCCGGTAGTGGAGAACACGACATGCTTCATAAAGAGCCGGACGCAGTCAACACACCCATCTTCTTCGTCCCTCTGGAAGCATCTGGCGGCACCAGTCACGAGGCAACTGCCGAACGGTCCGAGAGCTCAGGATCCGGCGCTTCGGAAGACGAGGATAGTGCGGTAATGTGGTCTAGCGATTTACTGCCGGATCTGTGGCCTTCTCTGGATCATGTTGGCAAACAAGAATCAGCGCAAGTTGAAGGTTCAGGTAGTGAGGAAAACGATGTTACGGATATTGTAGATAAGCGTGACGGCATTGGCGCTAAGAAAACGGATACCCAAGAAGCTTCCGGGGCTGATAACCTAGGTGTCCTCGAAACAATCGAAGAAGATGCTACTGCAGCTCAGGAAGATATTCAAATCGATTTCAATGACAACAAAAACGTCATTGTGGAAAGGGCCAAAGAAAGCAATGACAACACTCAGCTTGGTAGTGAAGATCAGCAAAAGATAACTGAAAATGAGACTGCAGACAACCCCGGAAACAGCGAGGACCATATCAGCATCAACAACAGCAGCCAGCAGGGATCCTCCGATCAAGAAGAGCCGGTTGCATCAGCAGACCAAGAAGAGACTTCTCAGTCGTCTCCCTCCCAGAGCCCTGAGGCTGAGGACGCCGCCAATCCTGACGAACTGGAGGAGAGTCTTCGTTCGGCCATTCAGCTCCAGAGCTCCCAGCAGGAGCCGGAGGAGTCTGATCCTCCCACAGCCTCCGATCATATGGGTGAGTAGGTGACCAGGATGGTGGGCGTTGCGATGTGAGGAAGGCTCAGAACGAGTTGCTTCATGTGGTACTTGTCATACACCGTTTCCAGCAGCAATGTCAATCAGTGAAACATAGCGGTGTGATGAAATGAAGTTGGCATTTTCTTGGATCATGTGTATCCTTCGCATTTTCTTGCTGCATCATACTCTTTCTATATATTTTCCCGAATCAAATTAATTGAATCTATCCATTACAGGAACAACAATAACATATTTTCAAATCAACCAGTGGTATTTTTTATGCGCTCTTATCATAGTATGGTCTATGTCTCACCCTGCACACCTCTGCCATTCCAGATGGTTTGGAGCGAGCGCGCCTCCTGCTGCTGGGTCACCGCCGGCGGAACCGTCACCGGTACGAGATCACCGTGACCTCCACGGTGACCTACACTGACCTGAGCTTCACGGTGGCACGGTACCGGCTCGACTGCCGCGCTGACCTGTCCACCCTGCCTCCCTGTCCGGCGCCGCAGGTGGAGGTGATGTACCCATGTATGT